CATACAGTCTAGAAGTATTTTAAGCATTTATTGACTCTTCTTTTACATAAAGAGGAAATCTGGGCTGGAAGACAGATTTTTGTTATTTTCTTATTGATTGCTTAATGGTTTTCCGGAGAGGCGAACATGGATGTTCCTGTTCTCCTCCCCGCGCGCAGCTTCATCCTACTGAGAGGCATCAGATAATCATATTTGACATCTCTGCACTGTCTTCTTTCACAGTTCAAGATGCCTGATTAATTTCTGTTCTTATGTTCACTCCATAATGTTCCCTCTGAGAAAAGTCCTTTGAGTTTTCAAGCATTCTACATGTGTCCTAAAAATATATATATATATATATATATACATATATATATATATAATAGTTTAAAAATTTTGTACATTTTTTTCCATCCCAATTGTAACCCCCTGAGGGGAGTTTTTAATGGCTTTCTAGTTTCTCCCAAATTAGACACAGCCAAAGTAAGGCGCACAGACAGTCCACAGCAAGGACTGGCCTTGAGGTGCAATGGCTTTTTCATGCGCTCCAGCCTGAAATGCGCTCTGGCATTGCAGCAGCCCCGGCCACTCCTGGTTACTGATCAACCTGCTCCTGGTTTGCTGCTGCAGCCCCCGCCCCCAGCTCTGCAGCTTCATGGGTCATTTACTGTGGTTGTTACCTCCAGGTCCTGTCCCCTAAACCCATTGCACTTTCTCATTCACAATCACAAACCAGAACCCCCATTTTCCAGAAGAACCCAAGGCTGGGTGGGAGAGGGCAGGAGCTACACTGTCAGCCCTATAAAATGGTGGCAAGGTGGGTCCCAGGGGCCCTGTGGACACGAAATGCTGGTCCAGGCTTGGCCAAAGCGGAGTGTCTCAGGCTAGAAGCCGGTGCACAGCCCCTGGCTGAGAAGTCCTGCTTTGCAAACCTGAGCCTCTCTGGTGGGGCGAAAGGAGAAGCTTAGAGCTGTGTCAAGGGGCCGGGTGGGTTCGAGTCTTGCCAGATTCCAGCTCGGGACCCCAAGGTGCGAGTCCTGTACTCCAACCAGCACCCCAATCCTGAGCGCCCAGGCTGCGCCCCGCTGCGCCGCGGGCCAGGCCCTCTGCTGCCCTCTGACGGCCGGAGCGCGCGGCGCCGACTCGGGCGCTAATGCCACTGTCGGGGAAGCGCGCAGGAGAAAAGGGGGCTGGGGCTGGAGCTGGGGGACCTGCTCTGAGTGAGTGCAGCATCCGATGAGGTAGGCAAAGGCGAGACACGGCGTCTAGCACCTGGGAGGCGCCTGCCGGTACGCTGCCGCTGTTACGGGATTCCTATTGTTATTCTCTGGGGAAACTGAGGCCCAAGGAAATAAGAGGACGTGCGTTCTGCGTGGCGGGTGGGAGTCTTTGCCCCAAGTCGCAGAGGATCGGCGGCACAGCCAGACGCCGCTGAGGCCCAGGAGCCGAAAAGCTCGGGGCTCGCGCTCCCGCAGCGCCAGCCGCCCCGGGACTTGGTTTTCTTCCCGCTTCTAGCTGCAGCCCGGCTAGGTCGCGGGAGGCGAAGGGGAGGGGGTGCAGGGGCGAGAGGTGGGGGCCCACCGGGGGCGTGACGCACCGACTGGGAGGGCGCGGGGCGGGGCGGCCACGCGGGCAGCATATAAGGGCCGCCGCTGGGCGCCCAGAGCCAGAGCGAGCGACTTTGTCCAAGAGCCTGAGCCGAGCTTGAGGCGGATCCCGCGCCCGCGCCAAGCCCCAGCCCGAGCCGCAGCCGGAGCCCAGGTCCCAGTCGCAGAGTCAGAGCAGAGCCGCTCGGCCGCTCAGCCCCGCGCCCCGGCCACCCTCTGCGCTTCTCTCGGCCCGTCCCCGCCGCCGCGGCCCCTCCGCCCAATGAAACTGGCTGCGATGATCAAGAAGATGTGCCCGAGCGACTCGGAGCTGAGTATCCCCGCCAAGAACTGCTACCGGATGGTCATTCTCGGCTCGTCCAAGGTGGGCAAGACCGCCATCGTGTCGCGCTTCCTCACCGGCCGCTTCGAGGACGCCTACACGCCCACCATCGAAGACTTCCACCGCAAGTTCTACTCCATCCGCGGCGAGGTCTACCAGCTGGACATCCTCGACACGTCTGGCAACCACCCTTTCCCGGCCATGCGGCGCCTCTCCATCCTCACTGGTGAGCCTGGGGCCCCAGACGGGGCAGCGGTCGGTGGGGGGAAGCTGTGCCAGCAGGAGGTGCGGCGAACCCCTGTTCCGGGGCGCTGGGAAGGGCCGGGGCCGAGGGGGCTGCTGCCTGTCCCGCCGCCGCGCACCGCTTTGCGCGTGGAAAGGTCGCCGCGCCCCGCGCCGGAGGCCCCCAGGTCAGCCCAACTTAAGATGTCCCTTCGGGCAGCCCTTCTCACTTGCTTCTTTCCCCCTCTGTGCCCGTAGGAGACGTTTTCATCCTGGTGTTCAGCCTGGACAACCGAGACTCTTTCGAGGAAGTTCAGAAGCTCAAACAGCAGATCCTCGACACCAAGTCGTGCCTCAAGAACAAAACCAAGGAGAACGTGGACGTTCCCCTGGTCATCTGCGGCAATAAGGGTGACCGGGACTTCTACCGAGAGGTGGAGCAGCGTGAGATCGAGCAGCTGGTGGGTGACGACCCCCAGCGCTGCGCCTACTTCGAGATCTCCGCCAAGAAGAACAGCAGCCTAGACCAGATGTTCCGCGCGCTCTTCGCGATGGCCAAGCTGCCCAGCGAGATGAGCCCTGACCTGCACCGCAAGGTATCGGTGCAGTACTGTGACGTGCTGCACAAGAAGGCGCTGAGGAACAAGAAGCTGCTGCGGGCCGGCAGCGGCGGCGGCGGCGACGCGGGCGACGCCTTCGGCATCGTGGCGCCGTTTGCGCGGAGGCCCAGCGTCCACAGCGACCTCATGTACATCCGCGAGAAGGCCAGCGGCGGCAGCCAGGCCAAAGACAAGGAGCGCTGCGTCATCAGCTAGGAGCCCCCTCGGCCCTTCGCACCGAAGACCGAGCCTAAGGAGGACCTTTGTGTTTGAAAGTCGAATCTGAAGTCCCGGGCCAGGCGCCTGAGCCCCGGGCCGCGGCGCTCTCGCTCCCTCCGGGAGCGGGTGTCTCCCTTCCCCGGGGCCCGGGGCGGCCACTGGGGAGGTACTGGGAAGGGACAGTCATCTGCGTTGGAAGGAAGGCGGACTGGCCAAGATTGGGACTCAGCCCACCTCTGATTCCCCATTGGCCCCAGGCACCCCCACAATTTAGGGGCCTTTGTCCCCCAACTGGGTTAATTTAGCGCGTTCACAAAGACCTAAGAATGGGGGCCGGCGGGGTGGTGGTGGAAGTTAATCGGTCACTGTTAGCCTTCAGGAGACCTCAGTCCTGCTGGAAGGACAAAACAGGGCATTATCTTGTCTGTGATTCGGGTTGCCATGACAGCTGCGAAAGCCTCTGCCCTCTGGAAACTAAGGGGGTTAGGTGGGTCAAATCATATTCAAGTGACTTGTTTACATGTGTGTGTAAATTGCACAAAGAAAAACAAACATAAAACTTGCACTTTAATAGTAGTTCTGGTGTCATCGCAGACATGAACAAACTTACCCAGGTGTTTATATTGTGTGTGTCTTGAAACGTATTGTTCTTTTTATATAAAATAAAATTATTAAAAACGAAAACCTATGTTTCCTTTGCTTTTAGAAAAGGCTGGAGGGGAAAGGGTGAGAAGGGAGGGTGTGGGGTTTCTACTTCTGTGGAATTAGAACTCACCTTTGCCAGAACTAGAAGATAATCTTTGCATTCTGAAAACAGCTTCTTCAGCCCTCCTGAGAGAAAAGACTCCCAATGGCTGGGCTAGGGCCCTTCTTTTTAGGGAAAGGTTCTTGAAGAAGGGCAAAATCAAGACTCTGGGCATCTTTACAGTCATCGACCGGCTTAGTTTCCTTCCTCTCGGCCAGAGGCCCTGAAGTGTGCCCCAACTCTTTCGTCACTACGCGGCAGAGCAGGCTCAGGGCAACCGACAAAAGGTCACCAGGTCTGCACCTCTCAAGTTGGTCTGAGAGGTCACTCTACTTTCACTAATAAGGAAATGTGGTCAAGAGACTGATGCAGTGATGAGCTGGCCCAGGATTCCGCCAACCCCTTCTCCCCCTTTCTAGAGTTGCAGTGTGGCCTCTGCAGACAGTGGAGATCACCTGCCTCCTGTACCCCTCCAGCCCTGGTGGCCACTGTCCCTGTGGAGTCCAGGGCTCTTCTCTGCCTTACTGTCCCCTCTGAGTAGTTGAGGGCACCCCTACACAACTTGAGACCTGGGTGTCTGCCACTCGTTTCAGTGCTAGTTCAGGACAAGTGACTCAAGTCACCCGTAGCAACTCAAGTTCTTCACCCATGAAATACTAAGAACGTGGGGATGCTGTGAGGACGTGTGATATTTGAAAACCTTTTAGCACAAGTGCCTGCCACCCAGTAATCCAAATAATTGGTGGCTTCAAGAGGATGCCCAGCCCTGTAAGAGGCACTCAAACTTGTCCCAGGGGAAGGATTTCAACGCTGTTCTACTAGGGTGGTTCCCACCAGGACTCCGCGCACCACTGCAATAACTGGCCCAGGGGGCCAAACAGACAGATGATCCACCAGGCCAACTGCACCTAGGGGGCTGACGCCACTCCCCAAATCTGAAGAGTTACTGTTTTCACACTGGCTTTGCTGAAAGCGCACATGCGCACTGGGAGGGAGGAAGGTGCAGAGCCCAGGTTCTCACTGTTCTGTTTTCAAGCAAAGTGAACATTTTCCTCTCAGCTATCCCCAGAGACATCTTATAATGAATTGCTTAGTTAAAAAACCAAGATGTTCCAAGAACAGAGCTTAGTTCTTTTAATTACACTCAAAAAGTGTCACAGACACTGGACTATAGAAAAGGGGTCCCTCTCTCTGCCCTGTGAACCCCTGCACCACTGTTTCAGCACTGCATAAAGACCCCCATGGCCTTGTATTCCTAGGTATTCTCTCAGAGCCTTAAAACTGGTGCACACACTACTCTTAAAATTTCAAGAAAATAAACAACCTAGCTAAATAATAGTCCCACCTAAATAATAGGTAACTATCTATTAAAATTCAGTCTTCTCTGCCAAAGCCACTGACACTGGATATCCCCCTTCACATGTCCCTGGGCTCCAACCTTCTTCTGACAGGTGGCTGCAAGCAGACAGGAACAGAACCCCAGTCAAAAACACCCTCAACCAATATGCCTGCCAACGAGGTCAGTTGGCAGGCATCTGTTAAGCCCTTGAACTGGTGAGTCCAGGTTATGTGCCCATTTCTAGATCTCAACAATATTCCGTTACTTCTCACCTCGTCTTTAAGAGGCAAGGTGGAGGGCTGCTTTTCCCTCAACCTGACAGTCAAGAGGCAGCGCATATAAATATAACACCCCGCCTGGAAGAAAGGGGGGTGTTTATAAGCACATATAAACAGAATTTGGCTATATAATGTCCAAGGTTAGCTCACCCTACCGCTACAGAACTGACTCACCTATCGCACCTGGCCAAGGGATGGTCACACTGTCACCTAGAGCTGCCCTTCTCTGGAAAAGGCACACCAGGAGCCTCTTTGCTGCAGAGGCAGTAAATGTTCACGGGGGATCTGGTGAGAAGGGCAGAGCAGGGATTATTTTGAAAACCAGGGTAACCATCTGAAATGTCAGAAGCAGCAAGGTTTGCTTACTTGGAAACCTGTCTGAGCTGACCCTCGGCCCCGGGGAGGGGGGGGGAGCATTATGAGGTCTTCGTTTGGTCACTCTCTGGCATTAAATGTCTAAACGAGATGCCTGAAAGGAGCTCCTTGTCCAGGAGACAAGGAGCAAGAGCTAAAAGTAACAATACACGTAGGTGGCAGAGAACCTGAAGACAGGCCGCCCCCCCTCCCTGGCAGGGCTTCAAGCTGACACCCCCATAGACAGTTACATTTACTGGCTCAAACATAAAAGGAATTAAGCTGTGGAGGGGGAGAAGGGGGCCCACACCGCCCTGTAGTTATCAATACCATGTTTATTCTCTCAAGGGCTTTTTTTCTTTTACCATTTTAAATCCACGCCATATGAATGCAGGCCTAATTTATCCAGTAGATTCTATGCAAATGTTTCATGACACTGCTGTTAACAGGAACAATATGTACCTGGTACACACTGATCATATCCAGGGGGAGGGAGGAGAGAGCAGACAGGAAGCAAAGGGGGAGCCGCCTCCTTTCCTACTGTGCTCTTCAGAACTGTCAGCAGAGCATGAATACACAGCAGATGGCCCCCTCCCCAGAGGTAGGGGTAGAGTGCTCCCCCCTCCCCAGCCTTCAGGAACATTCTCACTTCCACCAGCAGGCACTCAAGTTATTATGCATCTAGACATATGGATACATACAAGGAAGCACCAATGAAGCATGCCAAGTTCCAATGCTGGCTCCTTGCAGTCAATGCCAAGTTCAGCTAAGGAAGCAGTCCAAAAGCCTCACCCCACTCAACTACAACTTTAGAGCTGGGAGTTCAGAGAGCCACACTCAGGGTGTGGTGGGGAGAGAATAAGGCCATGTGCTCTTCTGCTTCTTTCTCAGGCATTCCTGGAAGCCAGTCTCACTCTACTCCTTGGGGAGCTCAAACATGCAGAGGCTCTTGTATTTCTGCAGAAGTTCATTCTTGGTCCTGACTTGCTCTCGGAGGCTGTGCAGCTGCTGCTGCTGCTGCTCAGGACTCAAGTGGATGCCGGGCATGGCGCTGATGACTTTGCGCATCTCCTGGAACTTAGTTTTGAGGGCGTTCAGGTCCTGGTGGATGTCTGGGCTGTCCTTGTCCATGCTGCAGGGGGCAGAGGGCAGGCATTAGCATTGCAGTCTAGATCCAGGAGACGCCTGGCTTGCTTTCTCTACCTCTTACAGAACTTGCTGTCTTCCTACATTATCTTTTAGAACACTTTGTTTTTCAGCTGTTCTCTTCCAGTGTGTCCCCAGAGGACAGGGACCTGTTCTTTCTTACATGGATAGGCATGTGGCAAGCGCTCAGTAAAAGCGCCCGAGTCTGGTAGGGCCTGTGCAGCCCCTCCCAGAGGAAGCTTGCAAAAATAGATGCTTAAACTCCATGATCTCAGAGGGCAGGCCTAGCTGCTTTGTTCACAGCTGTATCCCCAGTCCCCAGCCCAGCCCCCAGGACACTTGGGGCACTTAGTGAACATTTACTGAAAGAATGAATGCTTTGCAAGTAAGTTTATAAGTGTTTGTTAAATGAATGAATACACCATTACCAAGATCAGGTGGCAAATGCCAAGCTGAATTTGCTGAAATACTACATTTCTTCTCATTTGAGCCACTGCCAGGTCAAACACAAGACCTCACCAGCTAGCAAGAGCTAATTTTAGCTGACTTTTAATGCTTGAGCTGTTAACACAAAAACTAATTTCCACAGACCTATTCATAAATTTTATATTAGTTACAAGCTCTTGGAAATTTTTCGGCAGGTAAGAGCTCTCACCTACCACACTCCTGTAAGCTCTTTGTCTTCATGCCAGATTCATTTTCAAGGCAGGCACATTCACTTCCTTTCACAGCTGTTATTAGCTGCCTAGAGATCCATGGTCCCCTTCCACTGCTAAATTTAAAGCAAATTCGAATAGGAAATTTTACCTAACACCAAACCAACAGCCTGACAGTTGCTGCTGTACATTTCTAAGTGCCTGTGTGTGGATGAGCTTTTGGAAACAAGCAACTGAGACCAAAAACCTAAAAGTTCACTATCAAGTTGCTCTAAAAGTCAGCCATTGAGGCTTAAGAGGGGAAAACTGTTGATGATTTTTTTTTAAATAAGCATTCATCCTTGGTGGGAAATTTCAACCCAGTTGGTGAAAATTCATGTTTATAATCCATCATTTCTCGATCACACAGACAGAAGATCCATTCTTCCCTGCACTTCACTGGTTATGGCCCAGGCCTGGCAAAGGAGATGGCTTCCAGGGACTGCTCATGTCAAATCACCAAGGCCAACGAAAAGCTACGGAAGAGCAACCATTTATTCTGGGGAATAAACAGTGAGCCAAGTATTTCTTATTGTCATTTGATGCCCTCAATTTGGATATATAGTTGATGTTTTACTTTATTCTAGTTCCTAGGAGTTAACTGGTATCCATGAGAACTGCAAAATACTTGTAAGAAAGCAAATAGGGAACATCTCTTATTTTAGTTTTTTAAATCTCAGATGAGAACAATTCTGGACAGAAATCATTGGGCTTTTGAAATCATTATACTTGATGGCATATATGTTAACACATTGTTACAAATTTAAGTCCAAAGAAGCTTTAAAGTTAAAATTAAAATACATTTTTAAGAAAACTGATTCACACCCCAAAAGTCTGAAAGGACTCATTTAGGCAAAATTATATAAAATAAAAATATGAAAAGAAGTTATGATAATTCAGTTCTGGAAGCAAACATAACCTGACCTGAAAGAAGATTTAAATTCTGGAAATAAGAAGTGGGCCATGTTTAAGATGCTCATTTCTGAAAAGCCCCAATTCTCAAGGGTTACCCACTCTGCCTGGTGAGCTTTTGATCATGGAGACAGTCTTCTATTAAAGGAGGAGCCATATGAAAAGCCTGCTGGAGGGTAGCAGAGCTGAAAGGGGGTCATGCAGCCCATAGCGAGGCCCACTCCGCCGCCGGCTTCTCAGCCTGCCCTAGTTGGTGGAGGTAAACAACATGGGACTCCTGGGGTGAGGAAAACTCAATTCAGTGGCTGTAAGCAAGTGGGAACCTGCTAGGCCAAGATGACTGTGAAATATTCAATCCAAAAGAAAAGAGACAGGCCTGAATATTAGTGAACTCAAGCAGAAGGCTCCAAATGGGCCTGCCTTTGTGCTCAATGTCAGTCATCAACCCAACTTTAGAAGGAAAAAAGAGACAGAGAATAGACCAGGTCTAGAAGCATGAAAACGGTACAAAAAGATTAAGGTGCAGGCACTTTGGTCCTATTTACCGCAGTTTTAAAGATGGATAAAAATACTTCTGCTCTGCCTGATTGCCAGGCCGTGTCCTGCTGGCCTTGGAAGTGGGCACATCCCAGGTAATGCTCAGCTTGGCTGCCACACAGACCTTCTGCATTTGTGTCACCAGACTCCCCAAAACACCCCAGTTTAGCATAAGAAGGACTCATTATCAAGCTAGTACACACAGCTTAATTGAAGTAGTGATGCTTTTAGGATCTGCAAACAGATGACATACAGAGCAAAACTGTGTCCACTGTTAATTTAGAAGGAACCCACCAGCTCACTGAAGCCTACCTGCATCCAAACCTGAGTCACTTCTTTTACATCTTGGTGGCACCTGGCTTCCCATTTTTCCTCCTCAAATTTTCTCTCCCTCTCTGACCCTCACCTCACTGTCTGGTTGGGCCCCGCCTCCTCCGATCACCTGTCTGGCTGCCACATGTCTAAAATAGTGAGCTGTATTTCTTTCCTATGATAGCAGTAAGTGCTTAAGGGAAAGAACTTAAAATGACTGACACCCAAGACCTAGAAAAGGAAAGTCCCTCGGGTCCCACGCCTCAGAGATACCCTCTACTAACATGGGGTGGACGGTGTTTAGTGTGGCTTCAAGATAAACAGTAACACACACCTACTGGTTACCTGTTTAGACAACAACCTGAGCATACTGCACACATGGTGCCAATTCTTGCTTTTTTTCACTTATTGGTGCCCCTAGAAGCTCTTGCCATGTCAAACCACATACTGTGACAAGCTAGCCTTTGATGGCTGTATCTGGGTATCTGCACTTTGTAAGTTGCACTCACAATGGCCATGAACATTCTGTACTTGTAGCTGTACATGATGGTACAAGTATTGTGACAAGGTAATTTCCCAGAAGTGGTATTTCTGGGTTAAAGGTTATATACATTAAACTTTCAGCAGATTACCAAAATGTCCTCCAAATAGGTTATATCTGGACGTCAGCTATTACTTACTTATCTCCACTTGCATATCTACTTTAGTTCTTCCAGTACCTATAGGAAGAAGCACCTATGGAAAGGCTTTGAACCTCATGCTTTTGCTTTTATCTGCTCACAGGGTTACAAGTGGAAAATATTCTTTTTAGGGAGGAGGAACAAAAGGTTCAGCTGCTAAAAGAAGTTTTGTTAAAAAAACAAAACAAAAAACCTCCAAAAAACCACTGTTCTATAAAATAACCCAGAATGTGTTCATTTGCTCCCACTTCTTCATCTACAAGAACTCCTACCTAGCCCAGCCCACCTTCCTGAATCTCAGCTCCCTCTCCACTAGTTACCAAGTATTTTCCCCCTGGAGTCTGGGAAGATTTGCAAAAGTCCCGAAGATTCACTGCCTCCACAGCACATGCCATCTCTGGTGAAGGGCACCCCCACACATGTGCTGGCATGTGGCCCAATGTTCACCCAGCTGCCCGTTCTGCCAGCTCCACCTCCTACCTCCCTCAATTCATCAGGCTTCCTCCCACTGTTGCCAATTGCCTGTTCACCTGGGTCTCCTCCTAAACCCCACTGCCTACCTACAGTACCAAAATTGAAGTCTGAGCCCAAAGACCTTTGATGGTTCTTGACACTTCCAGATAACACCTGCCAAGCAAGTTCACACTGTGAAGGGGGCCGGCAGGCCACCCGGAAGCAGCCTCTGACCTTTCCAGGCTCAATGTCCCAGTCTGCCCACCCTGGGCCTGCCTCTTCCGGCCTGTGTCCCAGCAGGTGACCAGTAAGTTACACCAAGTGAACAGAGATGAAGTGGCAGAGGAGTGAACAGGTTTGTAAGCAAGAATTCTTCCAAATAGTCTACAGATGCCCCCTACCTGGACACACATCCTCTTCACTAGGATGTGGTCGAGGGGAGGAAAGTGAACAGCAGAGAGGGCTGCAAAGAAACAAAGGCAGTTAATCTCATGGAGGGATGCATCCACCTCCCAAACTTTTTGCTGCTATCGGGACCTCTTCCTGCACTGCCCAAGAGAGACCTCAGCTGGTGTGGAAGACCAGGCAGATTAAAACAGGCACTTGTGTGGGAAGAAGCAGGTCGGTAACACCCAGTTATATCATGCGAGTGGTTTTGCCAGAGCTCTGAGGTCTTGCTGACCTGTCTCAGCAAGACTTGTTTTAAGTGACATGGGCCCAGCATGACAATGTCGTGTGCTCATCGCTTGAGCTCCAGCTGCAGAATCAAAGATGATTCTCTGCTACCTATTCAACAACCCAAAAATTTAATTAAAAAATGTTCAAGTATCATTTGACAGAATACTTTTACTAAGCGGGCCAAAACCATCAGACAAGACATTGACAAAGCTATTTAGAATTTCTAGACTGGAATGCTTAGCTCCAGACGAAGATTATATTCAGCAAGTTTGGAGGGAAAAAAAAAATGTATAACTTTTCTTGGTCCAACAGGTTTCATTTCATCCCTCCTTTATTATATATGTACTTCTCAAGGAGTTGAGTTTTATGATGTATCTTTTAGGTGTAAAAAACTAATTTTTCTTTTTCCTTTTATAATTCTTAAAAAAAACATAAATGTGTAATTTTTAATCATTCATTCAACAGAAAGGCACTGGGAAGGGTGAAAGTGGTAAGGACTCTGTGCGGCTTTCTGACACCAGCAGGGAGCACCCCCGGCAGGAGGACGGCAGGAGCTAGGAGCTCTCTGAGCGAGGAGGGGCCTCAGCAGCACTTCAGCTCCCAGGAGAGAAGGGCAGCAGGCATCCTGCAGAGCACTGGGGCGCACAGTGAGGGACCCTGGAATCAGGGTGACTTGCCCCGGATCTGTGATGTGCAGTCCAGGCAGGCATCTGAGCGTGGTCTGCAGAGATTTCTGAGCAGAGGCCTAAAAGTTTGGGCTCAATGTGGGAAGCACAGGGAATGATTATAAGATCCCAAAATGAGGCCAGAAGACCTGAACAATGAAAGGGAATTAAGGGGGCAGATTTAAGGCTAAATGTTCTATGAACTAAAGCATCACGCGTCAGAATGGGCTGCTAGGAAACGTGCTAGCGAAGGTGAAGATGCTAAGGGTAAATAAAACCAAGGGAAAGGGAGCAAAGGTGAGCCTTAAAAATATGCAAATGTACTGTAAAGATCTAAGAACTAAAACAGTTACGTACTGGAGAGAACAGAAAATCCAGAGTAGATGAGAAAGCATATGGCGACTCAGTGTATGATAAGGGCAGCAACTCAAGCAGGGAAAACAATGAATGTTCAGTAACAGCAGTGGGAAGACTAAATGGGGAAGAAGTTGCCTCCCCCAACTCTCTTCATCAAAATAAGTTCCAGAAGCATCAAAGAATTAAAAGTAAAAATGAAACCATAAAAGTCACAGGAACAAGGGATTAATAGCTATTATTTTATTTGGAGTGGAAAGGGCTTTTTAAAGAAAACTCATGTCATGAATAAAAAGCTTAATAAATACGCTTACATGAAATGAAACGCTTCTGACAACAAAACAAAATCCAAACAAACAACAAGAACAAAGTAAAAAAAAAAAAAAGCAAAAATTTGGGGGAAATACTTACCAATCTACTTGACAAAGGTCTACTTTATTTACTGTACAAAGGGCTCAGAAAAAGAATAACCTGGGCCCTGCCTGGTGGCGCAGCGGGTTAAAGCACAGCACTACAATGCTAAAGCCACTTCAGCATGAGTTCGATCCCTGCCCCAGGGGTGACCCACTTGGCACAGCAGACCCCTGCTGACCTGCTCAGCAGTGTACTTCGTCAGTCTCCTGTTCTGCTCCCCACTCTGTCTCTGGTGAATCCTCTCACAGCCCCTGTACCTCTGGCCTGTAGCCCAGTTTGTATGAATAAATAATCTTTAAAAAAAAAAAAAGAAGAAAAACCTGATAGAAAAGGGGGAATACTTTATAGGAAAAAATTCAAATAAAACAAACATGCTTTACCTGGCATAATAAAAGCCACAAGTCACCATAGATGTTTACATAGCAGATGATACAACAAAGCAAGATACTTATAAAAATTAGCAGACACTAATAAACAAAGTAAATTTTCTGAGTTTAGTGGGGGAAAGGGTAGACCGATGGTAGATGGGGAGAAAAACAATCTTGGACACTTTCTCTGTGTCAGACATTGTGTTAAGCTCTGGACACAATGTGGCAATTACAATAAAATACCTGTCCTTGAAGAGTTCACATTCTAGTCAGGGAAGAAAGACAATGAAAATATAAGCAAGTAACACAACCACCACCAAATTGTCACATCAGAAATTCAAATAAACACAAAGAAATTTTTTCAAAGACGCAAGTTGAAATAATGTATCATTTCTGATCTATCCAGTTTGCTCAAGTGAAAAGTGATGGGTGAAGGCAGGAGTTTGGAAAAAAGTCACAAATACACTGTTGGTAGTAGCACAAATTTATGTACCTTCAGAATTTGCTAACAGATCAAAACTTTAAATTTATATATGCCATTGCTAGAAATTTATTCTCAAGAGTTGCAAAATGGCACTTACTAAGAGGTTCACTGTAGAACTGACTGCAATAGTCAAATGCCAGAAACAGTGAAAGTGGCCTTGAGCTGGGAACTGTTTAAACAGGTGATAGCATATCCACAAAATGGAATATTACACAGCTTAGAACAAGGGAAGGAACTGGGAGAAGTATCTATGGGTACTCTCTGAATATAGCTATGGTCAAACAGGCCAGAGAAGGTACTTGTAACCCTTTGTTGCCAGTACAAAAGTCAGATGCAAGAAGATGGGATGGGGAGAAGGGGTAATCTTAAATTCATTTTTAAAATTTTCTCTTTATCTCTACTTTCAGTATGGTTCACCTCTTCTAAATCCTGTAATGTGCCTGGTGTTGCCCAGTCATGATACACTCTGGCTCATTCTTTTCTATGACTAAGTCTTAGGAAAGAGTAATTATTTAATAGTCTGATAAAATGAAAGGAGAGGTACCTGTCTGCTTGAAATTGTGGGAGAGGACCATGGGATCTGCTTCTGAAATAGATTTTTAAAAAATCCCTCTGTTCTTAGTTCTCCTTCAGCCCCTATTTCCAGAGGCCCTTGGTACTGTCAATTCCTGAGATTTGGAGGAAGTCATGATCAAAGAGCTGTTTCTGGGGGCTGGAAGGTGGATTAGCTCTTGGCTATCACCTAGTGACAGTTACTTCCTCTTCTGTGATTTTTTTTGGTTTTATGATTTTAGAAAAGATCTTCACTGTGATTTTTGAATGCTCAACCTACTATCTTTCACAGTAAGCTTCTCTTAGTCAATAATCCAGTGATTTAAATGTCACTAGTTCCATTTCATAAGAAAAAAGATGCTCAGGAAAACTAAGGTATATGACCAGGGTCGTTCAATCAGTATATTATAAAGCTGTAATATGAACCCAATCTTTAAGGTCCATTACTGTTACTCATGTATTAGTGATAATACTGAGGTCTAGAAAGCGTACATATTTACTAATACTCAAGGCTAGCATCAACAAGAGGCTTGGAGCCAAGACTATTCACTGACTTCAGAGCCCAAATTCTTGAGAGTACCCTCCCTCCCCATCTAAATTTAAGGCCAGCTCTACCAGCAATCCAACTACTCTATCAGAATGCAGGGCTGCAATCTCCAAGAACTATCTCTGAGAATATGTTCGCTTTCATTTTCTATACTTTTATTAGAGCCAGTATATTTGGGTAAATCTGGATGCCCGTTTATAATCTTATGCTGCCCTAGGACTGCAGAGTCTACACTTGTGCTTTCAGTCTCACTGGTGCTAAGAAGTGCTACTGGCTGATCACAAGTGAATGAAAACAGAACGGGGTCTGCCTTACCCTATAAATAGTAAGTTCACACTAAATGAGGTCAAGGTTTAATGTGAGAACAGAGACTTCGTAGTTGTTTGAAAGTGGTGGAAGCATCAAATTACTCCACATCAAGTCAGCCTAGTCCCACTAACAATACTTTCATTTTGTGAGCAGCAATCCCATTTCTGTAAAAGAATATATTTTCATTCACCTGAATATTACTGCAGTAATTTTGTTTTAGGCTTTTAGTAATTGAAAAAGCCTAGGGATTGACACCTAGTATCTTGTGGCTGAAAATACAACAGTAAAAATGATTTAGGCAAATACGGGGATGAGGAAGACATTTATTTGTGCATATGTCTGGGATTCCTTAACAGGGTGAGTCTGAAATAGCCTAAGACTGGTCAAAAGCATACAATCACCTTCTCTGATACTAAGTTACAACAAAGCTCTACAGGGTAACTTCTGTGTCTTTTTTCCCTTCATCTTTCTTTTCATCTCTCCAAGTATTGTAAATTATGGGTTATTCCCGTTGTTTTTTTCCTTCTGATAGAAAAGCTGGTCCCACAGAACTTTCTACACAAGATATGGATCATCTGCTGAATGTGTTGAAAAATGGAAAAGAATACTAGGGCTCATAGAGGCTTAGCACACTTAGATCACAGGGATGCAAACTTGAGTCTTGACAGCATTTAGTCTCTAGACTGGCTTCATTTTTTTTAAGATTATCCCCAACCCTTATAAGATCTGGTATATTCTCGGGGCTCAAAGTCTTTGTAGAGCTCATGGAACGACTTGGTGCGTCTTGATTAAGGTCTCTTCCTTTTCTGGGACTGTTTCCCTATCTATAAAGTGGGGGCGTACCCAAAGCACCTAAGCCTTTCGCAGTTCTGAAACCGTGTGACGAGAAAGGGGAATGTCGTGACTGATCCTCTCCTGGGCCCTTACCATTTGATGATGTTGTGAACTAAAGGTAAAAAGGAATAGTTCTCCTCCTCCTTTACGACAGCGGGTGACTGCGGCCTAGGAGCGGGCGACTGCTGTGGGTGAGATGCGGCGATCGGAGGCGGTGGCTGCGGAGGCTGCAGCGGCTTCGTCTCGGGCAGCGGAGGCTCGGTCGGCGGCGGTAATGCATCCTCGGCCTGCCGACCCGCGGCCACCCCGGCGGTGGCCATGGCACTCGGTACTCCACCAGTCAGTCTGGAAAAGAGACCCGAAAGCTCGCCCGCCGAAAGTGTCGCGCACCCTGACGTCACCAACGCGCGCCCGCGGGGGAGACACGGAAAAGGAAGGCTGTGAGCATGCGCACTAGGACTCAAGGCGGGGCCTAAGGACTGGACGGGTGAGAGACTGTTACTAGGCAACGCGTTGTTGGCGGGGTTAAGGGTTGCTTGTGAGTCATGAGAGCTAAATTATTAAATGGTCAGAAATGGGAGATTTACTTCAGAAATAACGTCTTTTGCCTACTCACGTGACGAAGAGTGTTCAAAAGCAGTTAATAAAGAAGATAAATAAAGCTTGAGATAATAAGGCTCAGTATAGCCCAGCTTTTGGAGAAGGCCCCCAGGAGAACCAACTTGAATTACGGGAAAGAGTATACAGCACTTACCGACTACCTGTTGTATGCAAGGACTGAGGCCTCCAGGCGTGGAAAACCCAGAGAGATGAAAGCTCTCTAGCTCCTACATCACGGGGAATCCTGGAGGAAAAGCCCAAACCCTGACTGAGCCAGTGGTGTGGAGAACCTTTGCTAGCTCTAAAGGCACAACGGCAAAGGAATTGGGTTCCTCAAATTCCTGCATGGCTGGATATGGAGTGCATAACCCAATATTTAATATGCATCTTTCTGATGCTACACTAAATGTGAGGAGGCTGTCCTAATTTAACAAGGCAGGAGGGATTAGTGACCAGGATAAATGCATCCTAAAGCAAACTGAGTGGTAACAAACTGTGGAACTGTCAACCAGATCTTTTAAGCCCCTCGGTTCTACTTTCTGCACCTCTAAAATATCCCGTAATTCAGGATATTCATGGCAGAACCTGAGACTTAGCTGACTTTCAAAGATCTCTGTTTTATTAGGACTCCACTAGGGTCTTAGACCAAAGAGAAGATATCTGGTGAGTTTGTGGTTATGTTCCTCAAAACAAATAAGATATGGGGCTGTATAATAAGTTCCTGAGCCGTGGTGAACATCCTAAGCTTCAACAGTGAGTGAAAAAAGACATGAGCTAGGAAAGCCCTATGCTCTTCTACCATGAGCACCATCTACCATGAGCCTTAAAGAGAGGCAAGGAAGTCTTTATTCAGGTAGCAAGATGAATAATATGTCATAAGAATAGTGACCAATCACAAGGAAAGCAGGAATGCTGATATGTGCAGATGCATTAGGAGGTGAGTATGATATCAGATCCCAGGACTACAAGACCGTAGTGAAACGTGATGTTGGAGAGTATGTCAGAGAGACTCTTTAGTAATGACCATCAGTTCACCTTTCTTTAACAAGAGCTGTCCAGAGTACCCTAGAGGGAGAGCAAAGAGAGAGAAGGCTGCAGGGTTTTCTTCCTGCTAACCAGGAGCCTGCTAAGTGAAGAGTTCAGGAGTTCTGGAGGACAGTGGCCTTTCAGGATAGCACTTGAAGAGCCTATATACTGGTGGAGTCATCTGGAGCTAATACTGATGATTTAATAGTAATAATAGTTATTCCAACTACTGTGGAATAAAAATGGGTACAAGAAATCTAGTCACAATTACTGTTTAGTCAACAAATGAACTCTAGAAGTTAGAGTCCTCACTTAAAGTCACAGATAGTTTCTTGTGAGAGCTGTGACTCCTAACCAGTGGATCTTCAGAGAAGAGCTAGATAGTTCTTGTAAACTGCAACTTTAAGTGAAATGAAAATAATGAAACAAATTTGTTCATAACTACTTGATATAAACAAGAATTAATTTCCTAAGAGTTAATTTTCTGGTCCCTTAACACCACCAAATTTCTAAATTAAGACCCCAAACACTTCTAATACTACTCATTAAGTTGTATTTATTCATTTTCCAACCTTCTTGTTTCAGTTCCTGGACACTAGTGAACACAAGGCCGGCACCAACACTGGGAGGGACACCTTTCCTCCTCACTGCACACTCACACGTCTCCACACTCACTCACACTGGGACAACCGAGACACACCAGTGACCCAGAAGGAGGAGAATCAGTGGGAGGAGACCAGAGGATCCAGAGAAAGCGGTGCTTATAAGGAGGGCATATAAACAACGGCCCTGGCTGGGATTGGTCAATGTACTCATCAATGTTAAAATTGAGTATTTTTCAAGGAATTGCTGTACCTCTTATAGGAGAGGATACTGAGGATTACAGAGTTAAATACTGCCCCCAGGGTCACACAGTTTCTGATCTTAATCAATACATAGGAGACCTTGATTCCCTCCAGTTCTGTAACTTTATGATTCCAAATGTTAAAGTTCTTTTTTAAGTCAGAATTTGAAAATCCAATTTTCATCAGTATCTAACTGGGTATATCATCTTTTCCCTCCCAGTGTATTTTATGACTTAATTACAAGCCCTGATATTATTGTTTGCAGACTAATGAGTATGTGTCTGTTAAAAGAAAAAAAAAAAGCACTTCAAGTTGAAAATGTAGGAAGCACGAACAAGGTAGGGTGCATTGACAATTTGTCTTAAAAATAAATGAAATTAATGGCAAATAATAAGCTGACTTTGTAACATTGCAAATGGATGACAGAAAAATACTGCCTGTTTTGGTTTCATTAAAAGCTAAAGTTGGAAAAAAAAAGCCTAAAATTGCCACAACTGTGTTTGTTCATAACTGCTCCATCGAGAGTCAAAGGACATAGATGCTCTGTTAATATGTCAGGACTCTATATTGCTAGAGACATCACCAAGTTATTTGGCTGCTGCTTCTCATAGGGCTTGTCTGGTGAAGTTGGGGTTACATCGCCAGGCTGCCCCTGAGCCGCCTGCCTGACTTCATCCCAGCGTCCTCTCCTTGAAGTTGTGTGATGGTTGCTAGCCGTTGGATGATGGACCTCACCTTGTGCAGCCTTGCAATCTCCCAGAAGGACTGTGTGGGTCATTACATATAGGTCACTTAGAAAAGTATCTGTCACCAGTAAATAGTGGTTCTTATAACTCAGTTTTAGTGCTTCAGTTAGTCAAACCCAGACAGTAAAACAAGCTAGATCACAGCTCTCTCATAGATATATAACATGAGCCACAAATGCAAGCCACATATGTAGCTGCCAATTTTTTAGTGGTTATATTAAGAGATAGAAAAGAAATAGGCAAAATTAATTTAAATATAGTTTATTTAATCCAATATAGCAAAAAATATTTCAGCATATACTACTACAAAATATCAATATTCTGTTGGTTTTCATAACGTCTTTGAAAGCAAATCTGTATTTTACCCTTGCAGCACATCTCAAATCAAAGAGCCACATTTCAAGTTCTCAGTAGCCAAATGTGGCAGCAGTTACAGACTGAATGTTGCAACCCAAGAGAGCAATGTACGTCAACACAGACACAGCTCACAACCACAATCACAATCACAGAGGGAAAAAGCAAGTTATACACAGGAAATAGAATGTATTACTATTGTACTTATTTGAATGTTTGAAGCCTGAAAAATAAATAGTACAAGATATATATGTAAAAGTATTTTTTTAAGGAACTAAAAGAAATAGCTCAAATTCATGGTGTAGGGAATGGGAGTATAACTCTGACTTGAGATGTGCCTCAATACTAAAATACAGACTTGATTTCAAAGACAGTGTGACAAACTATAAATTATCTTACAATTTGTAGGATTATATGCTGAAATAGTTTTGTTATATTGGGTAAGATAAAGTATATTAAACACTGGAATTTTCTGTGTAGTATTTCTTTTGTATATTATAAGAGACATGAAGCAGATAGAAAAAACATAAGAAACTGAAATCTAGGGGTGGAGACATGGGAGGTGGTTCCTTTAGAATCTGGGCTCTGCTACTTTCTGTATGTGTGACCTTGAACAAGTCATTTAACCTTCTTGAATCTGTTTCCTCCTATGAAAAATGAAATCACAGCAGTATCTATCTAATGGGGCTGCTGTAAGGGCTGTAAAAATTAATGTAAGTAAAGGACTTGAAGTTGTGTCTGGCACATACAAGCACGCTTTAAGTTTTAGTTACTACAGTTATTGTTTTTAAATTTCTAAAAAATGAGAAATAATCCTCATAATTATTCCTTATGCATCAAACCTTTACTACAAGAACAAATACTAAAACCAGGCTGCAGCCAAGCATTAAACTTTCAGATGCTCTAAATGGACCTACATCACAACCACCTATGAATAAGTGTGTGATACATTTCTGCTACGTGAAATCCAAAAATAGTGGCTGCTCTGTCCTACAAACACCGTGGGTATTGTTAAGCTGATCATGTCATTGAATGATCAGGGACTTTTTCATCAAAGTCATATTCTTATATATGATTCATCCTTTTTCATTACCTAGAGGCTCTGTCTGGCTGAAAAAGCTACATGATACTTTGATTTTTGTGAATTAAAAGGGGGGGCAGTAATCATTATTCAAGTCAAACATATACCAGGAATCAGCTCACGCAAGTCTAAAATCACTGCCTAAACCCCGGACAAAGTCTTTTCTCCTGTCTCCCCTGTGGCTCACCTTTCTTTTCAACTGGTCTTGATTTGTTGTTGGTGCTGTTCCTTTCAACCATCCTCTTCTTTGCTCTAGGGTACGCCATTATGCCCAATCCTCAACTCATTTACGTTAGTGATTTCCTTTCTCAGACGCACTCTTGGGGAAGGGGGCGGGGGCATGTTTGCCATACATATTCATCTACGTTTCTTCCAGACAATATATTCCAGGAACTAGTTTTTGTCTAAAATGCTTCACTGTTGTTTTGATACCATATTCTTTCTGATCTCCTATTTTCAAATGATTGGTTATCCAAGGTTGTTTTTTTTTTTTTTTTTTTTGGTCTGTTTAAAAAGTCAGTCTTAACTCTTAACTCCCTCTGTTCATCCTTCAGAAAAAAAATACCTTTTTTTTTTTTGTTAAAGATTTATTTATTTGTGCATACAGAACTGGGGTACAGGCCAGAGGCTCAGAGGTGGCAAGAGGCTTCACCAGAGACAGAGTGGGGAGCAGAACAGGCAGATCTACGAAGTACACTGCTGAGGGGAGCAGCGGGCGGGTCAGGAGA